GCCGAGTTAATGGACATCCGGCCCAGTCAGAATCACACCATCCATCCAGTTGGAAATCAGATGTGCTTTTGAGGAGAATTTCTTGCCCAAGACTTCCTTTGAGGTATCTCACAATTTGAATGACTGCATTCTAATGTTCTTCATGCGGTTGTTGCATAAACTGTGACAAGGTATGGACAAAGTAAGACAATTCCGGTCTGGTGAAACACAAGTATATGAGGCGCCCAACAAGGCGACGATACCTGTCAGGTTGATCAATGTAGCGTCCAGTGGCTAGTCCAAGTTGATGATTCTGCTCAAGAGGTGTAGCCATGGGCTGTGCACCAAGTAGGCCTGCTTCTTGAATGATGTCTAATGCATATTTACGCTGACACAAAAATATTCCTCTTTAATTCCTTACAACTTCTACTCCCAAAAAATATTTTAAATGTCCCAAGTCTTTCATGTGAAAGCACTTGCTAAGATATTCTTTAAAGCGTTGAATTGCAGCAGAATCGTTCCCACATATGATCAAATCGTCTACATATACCAGAACCATCATTTGCACTCCATGGACAAAAAGAGTAAAGAGTGAGTGGTCACAACCCGACTGACGGAATCCAAAGTTTATCAAAGCAGATGATAATTTGGCAAACCAACAACGAGGGGATTGCTTCAAACCGTATAAAGACTTTTTCAATTTACAAACATGGTTCGGTTGAGAAGCATGAAAGCCTGGAGGAAGCTTCATGTAGACATCTTCATGTAGATCACCATGAAGGAAAGCATTGTGGATGTCCATTTGATGCAATTCCCATTTCTTTGTCGCTGCAACAGTAAGAATAAGGCGAACCGTAACCATTTTGACAATAGAGGCAAATGTCTCGGTATAGTCAACCCCTTCTTTTTGATGATTCTCGAGAATAACCAGCCTCGCCTTATATCGCTCTATCGTGGCATCCGAATTATGTTTGATCTTATATACCCATTTACAACCAAGAGGTTTCTTCCCATTCGGTAGAGTTTCTAGACACCATGTTCCATTGGTTTCTAGTGCATGAAGTTCTTGCTACATTAGCATTGCAAGCCTCCATTTGGCATCTTGCACTGCTTCAGCATAATGAGTGGGTTCTCGGGCTAGAGTAATAGCAGCAACAAACCTGCAATGCTTTTCAGAGAAATTTTCACAACTTATATAGTGAGATATAGGATAGGGAGTACCTGAAGAATACTGTGAAGTGGATTGACTTGGAGATGGACTTAACTTCTTTATGGTGTGAGTTACATACTCACGTAGCTTCACGGAAGGCAATTTGGTACGATGACCTCTTCCTAGTTCCTCCAAACTGCTTTGACGAACAAGCTCTAGTGAGTCTACATTAGGAGTTGGATTATTTCCTTTTTCTACAAGCTCATCACTCCTCTCACTCTCTAAGGCAACAGTTCCCCCCTCACTTCAAAACCTACAACTACCTCAATGAGTGTATTTTCTCCCATCCTTGTGTCATTATCCAAATCATTATCATCATCATTATCCAATGCATCGTTCATTAACGATGAATCCACAGATAAATCATATTTGACCCCAGCTGTATGTGTGAAAGGAAACTCTATTTCAAAGAACTCAACATCATGAGACACAAAATAACATTGAGTATCTAAATCAAATAATTTTCAACCCTTCTTCCCATAAGGGTAACCCACAAAGATACACTTTCGACTTCGACTAGAAAACTTATCACCATGTCTATCCAAGTGTGTAGCATAAACAACCAAAAATTTTGAAATGATCATACATGGAGGCTTGACCATGCAACATCTCATATGGTGTTTTTCCAAACAACACTGGAGTAGGGGTACGATTAATCAAGTATCCAGCTGTTAAGACATACTCACCCCAAAAAGAAATAGGGAGATTATCTTGAAATCGTAGAGCGCGAGCAACGTTAAGAATGTGTCTATGATTTCTTTCTACTCTTCCGTTTTGTCTTTCTATTAATGCAAAGAAATTCAGCAATGTACGTGACACTTCCCTTTTATCAAAAATCAAATAAATCCAAATAGCACGAGAAAAATCATCCATTATTGTCAAAAAAATATGAAGCACCACAAGAAGAGGGAGTTCTATAGGGCCCCCACAAATCACAATGTATTAATTCAAAACTACCACCAGCATTATTTGTACTTAATGGAAAGATATCTCTAGCTTGCTTAACCCGTAAACATGCATCACATGGTTTGTTCTTCAAAATACCACTATCACACCTCATGTTGGAAGCTAATTTAGTGACCTTGAAAGAAGGGTGTCCCATGCGTTGATGTCACAGATTAAGTTCGCAAGTTCCATTAGCTTTGTGTGCTTTCTCACTTCGGATTCCTTTAAAGAAGTAAAGCCCATCTCGTTGTTCACCCACTCCAGTCAGCATCTTCGAAGTGCAATCCTGCATAACACATAAATTGTTAGTGAAATAGACAACATAATTTGTTTCATTTGTCAATTGAGAAATAGACAACAGGTTGCAACTCAATGTTGGCACATAAAGCACATTTTCCACTTTCAATCCTCCATCAAGTGTCACTGTGCCTTCTTTATTTGTCATTAGTTGTTTTCCATCTGGAAGTCTCATTGGACACCCAACTACGTCTCTCAGCCCACATAATAAACTCAAGTTTCCTGTCATGTGGCTAGAGGCACCTGTGTCTATGATCCACTCACTATGTTTACCTGTCATTTTGTCACTTGTGGTTCCTTTGTGATTGTTCAACAAATCCTTTAGAGTTTGCCATTGCTTAGAACTCAGTCCACTCAATGCATTTACATTAGTCCTATTGGTTTCTCCATTCACTTGCATTGCATTTGCTCGAAAACCTCCATTTCTTCCAATCAAATTTCCTAAATTATCGTTTGCATGCAAGTCATATGGTGAAGGTATCTTTTTCACCAATTCGCTCTTCTTCTCAATCTCAGCTTTATCCATGAGGAGAGTTATGTCACGCATTCTCACCGAGACTTTGTACGCTTTGATACCATAACAAAGTTATGGAAAAAGAATCGTGTGTCATTCTATTGATCAATGGGTAATTATATACAAGTATATGACAGTTACATATCTTAAACTACAAGCTAAATTATCTCCATCATATCCTTGATATTAGGGGTGGGCATGGATCGGTTTTTTTTAAAAACTGATCCAAACCGATCCGATCCGCTTTTAAATGGATTGGTTTAGTAGATTCTGATCCGATCCGGTTTACTGATCCGATTTTGAACCGAACCTAATTAATGGATCAATTTTGAACCAATTTCGATCCAAATTTATGGATTAATCCATTTCCAAAATGGATCGGATAAAAAACCAGTTTAAAACTGGTTTTTTGAAACCATTTTTTTGAAACTAGTTTTTTAAAACAGATTTTTCAATCAGATTTTTTTAACCAACTTTTTGGACTAGATTTTTGAACCAGTTTTTTAAAATAGATTTTTGAACCAGATTTTTGAACCAATTTTTTGAACCAGATTTTTTAACCAGTTTTTTAAAACAGATTTTTGAACAAGATTTTTTAAACCAATTTTTTGAACCAGATTTATTAACCAGTTTTAAACTATAATAATAAGCAATTTATATTGTATATAACTGGTGAAATCTTCTTATAAGGGCTAGCTAAAAAGGTTTAATTATTTCGTCTTGCATTTTCGATTTACTATTTTTCTGTTTTGGGAACTTAGTTTGAAAAAAAAAAATTCAAACAAACTCTTGGTCTCAATATTTATAGTTGAATAATGGCCTTAATATCCTTACAACATAACTTGTTGGAAAATCTAAAAATGCAACTTGCAGAAGATACTGATCCCAAAGAGAAGATAGTGGCTTCTAATATTGACACAGAGGAGACAGTGATTTTGTTTGAATTTTTTGAACCAGATTTATTAACCAGATTTTCCACTGATTGCCTAGACCGTGAAATATGCTTCTGCAATGTTGACAATGAAGCAAATGGACTTCTCCTAGGGGTGGGTGAAGCTAATTTCTGCACAGGGCACTGTACAGCCTTTACCAGAGGTGTTTTAAAGGAAATAAACTATAACATGAAAAAATAAAGACATCCATGGAAACAACTCACACCACCTATTAAGAATTACAATATATATCTTAATTCTTAAAATAAACTTGAAAATATCCAATTCAAAACATTCCACCAAGTATTTGCTAAATTGACTTTGAGTCTCACCTAAGGCTATATACCCTTTTAAGTCAAATCAAAATATCCACTAAGTAATCGATATGATCATATTATATCCACCAAAATATCTACTAATTAAGTCAAAAGCAACATGAGCCACAACAAAAATTACAATGTCCAAATTATATAATTAACTAAATAATCCATCGTCAATCATCTCCAATGTTAACATATTATGCTTAATAATTAATATCTTTTTGGTAAATAATTTCTTCAAAATAAAAAAAAAAGTTATCAATTATTGATCAAATTATAATAAGTATATAAGACAATAATGCAGTATAAAATAGATCTAGCTTGTTACTTTGTTCAAATTTCTCCAACTCTTCAAAATCCCCATTTTCATTTGAAAACAATTGTAGTTGTGTTCTTTTAAGCCAATCTTGTGTGCAAATAAGTGCTTCTACCATTCTAGGTGTAAGAGAACTACGATATGGATCAAGAACTCTTCCTCCAGTACTAAAGGCAGATTCAGAGGCCACTGTAGAAACAGGTATAACAAGCAAATCTCTAGCCATTTTTGAAAGAATTCGAAATCTACCCGAGTTGAGCTTCCAGCAATTCAAAATATCCAAATCTACATAACTCTCTTCTAAGGCTTCCTCCAAGTATTTGCTTAATTCAGATTTATTAGAGCTAGTTCTTTGAAAAAAATGGTTATAACCATAAGGGTCATCACTACCTCCTTCATTGAATCGAGCTTCTTGTGAGTTAACTTCTATTTCATCTCTTCCACCATTATACTCTTGAAAAAGTAATTTGAAACTAGACTCCATTTTTTATTTTAAACTAGATGCCACCTCACCATCAAAATTTTGACTAATCAACCAATTCATGAACTGTAATTTGTATCCTAGATGCAACACAAGAGCAATAAGTAAAAACATATTCAGAAGATCAACATTGCCCCAATACTTATCATATTTCTTCTTCATATTTTCTGCCATAATGAATACATTTATATCCCTAGAATTGCACATTTGGCTAATCTTCTTTCCAATTCCAAAGACCTCAAACATGTATATATTTCTAGTTACATAAACTAAGCCAGACATGCACAAAGTAGCATCATAAAACAATTTCAGAAATGGTAGGATTGCACGCACAAATTCCCAATCAGCATATGAATGAACACCTTTTACCTTTTCTAACTCTTCGATATACTTCTTATTTTGCATCTCAAGCTCTTCAAAAGCCTTGTGAAGTTTCAATGCAGCCTCTAACATTAAGTAGGTAGAATTCCATCTGGTTTCCACATCCAAGCAAACAAGGCCTTTGTATTCAATATTTTGTTTCTCAACACATGTCTTGAATTTAGCCAACCTAGAAGGGGAAGATCGTACATATTTTACAGCACCGCGAATTCTCAAAATAGCATCAATGTTATCCTTGAAACCTTCTTTCACAATCAAATTCAAAATATGGGCACAACAACGCATGTGAATATAATCTCCCTTCATAACCAAACTATTCCAAGACATTAACCTTTTTTTTAGATATTGGATTCCAACATCATTTGACGAGGCGTTATCAACTGTTAAAGTAAGAACACGATTCAACCCCCATTTACTCAAGCAATGTTCAACCTTTTTAGCCATGGTCTTTCCTGTGTGACTAGTGACTTGACAAAAGTTTAACACCTTCTTTTGCAGCTTCCAATTGTTGTCAATGAAATGAGCAGTCAAGCACATATAACTCAAATTTTGAGATGAAGTCCATGTGTCTGTGGTGAGGCAAACCCTTTGATAGTTTTGAGAAATAAATTCCTTCAAATTTTCTCTTTCACTATCCCAAAGTTTATAAATATCACGTGCTAGGGTAGTATGTGAGATGACATTAAGAGAGGGTGCTACAATGCTTAAAAACTCACGAAAAGCTTCATGCTCAATACATCAAAATGAGAGCTCCATTGCCACAAACATTTTGACAATTGCAATTCTCAATGCTTGTTGGTCAATTTTGGGCCTAGCCAATGAAGGGGAAGAAACCATGGTTCCAGATGAGTCTGATTTTCGCTTCTTGCTCAACATTTTATTTGATATACCCTTGCATCTACGTAAATGATTTCGCATAGCACTTGTTCCATTCTCAAACCTAATCAATGTACCACAATGGTTACATTTAGCTCTCTTATCTATGTTGGGCTTTGGCTCCTCAATAAAGTGATTCCATACGTCAGATAGATTCTTACGCCCTTCAGAATTGTGACGCGGTAACATTTGTTCAGCTAGATGTTCTATAGTGTCAGAAACTAAAGTTTCATTTAGCTCAGCCATGTAGTTGTTCTACAATAGAAAAGAAAAATAGGATGTAATTTTTTTGTGGTAAAAGATTACATGGAAATTTGACTGTAACCAAGCAAGAGTGTAAGACAAAAACCTGTAAAAGAAGTATTCCAAGAGTTGCTGAACCAAATCTTGTGAGAAGTTCACCTTTCTCTGCAAGAAGCTAAAAATATATGCATGAAACCAAAGCACCAAAGCTGCCAATAATATTGAATCAGAATCCAAGAAAAAAACCAGCTCCAAAGTATTTTAGAAAGAAAGCAATTCAAATTCATTATGATGGAATCAGATACATTAATTGTTTCTATATAATACTAACATTCCTAACTTTTTCTTTTAAGCAAACAAAGGTAATTGTAATTAATAGTAAGAAAAAATACAAGCTTAAGAAATTTCAACTGTTGGATTAGAACTGCAATCAATCCAGATAAATTCTAAACTGTAGAGGATCTATTTCCATTTCCAATAACTTCTACCACAAAACCAGATTCAAATTCATTATGATGGCATCATATGGTATGTTAATTAATCCATTATAGCTTTACAATTGTTAATGCTAGATTAACAATTTACAATTTCCTTTTCTGTTGATGGAAACATAGGGATATGCTTTGATCCTATAGTTAATAAGGGCTTGCAAATGTTACATGGATGTAATGCATATGACAGCAGATGACACCTTACATAGTTTCAACAGACAAAGCTTCTGCTTTTATCACATTAGTATATTTGAAGAATGAAGAACCAACAAATTTGTAGGAGACTATACTAACCTGAGTATCACTAAAATTGGATAGGAGAATTCAACAGCCGTGATGATTACATGAAGTAGAACAACAACTTGCAATATTCAATTCAACATTATGGAAATATAAAAAAATTATGTGATATAAAATATCTCATTTTATATTATGAAACTATTGTTACTTGTCAAAGAATCAAGGAATTAATGTGGACACGGAACAGTTTTTTCATGCTTAATTAACAAGATCACTTACTGGTTCAGAAATACACTTTTTTTGTGCCAACCTTTCCACTATAAAGGCAGCAAGCGAAAATATGTTGAGACTAAGACTGCATACAAAGCATAGATATAGTTTCCAACCTTTTCAATGCCTTTTGTTTATCCTTGTCATCATGCAAATCTAACTTGAGTACAAACTTCTATAAACAAAATCAGGAACTTCTTTAACCCACAAACTAATTAATTAATAAACAGAACATTTGACTCAGGAACTATGAAAGAATATTTACAGAACAACAACATACAATATCTGAACAAGAAAAAAAAAGTGACACTTTAGAACCTCCAAAATCTATCTACAACCCAAAAGCTCATAATATATTGCAAAAGATGTGATATCAACCATCCAAAATACAGACCCAGGTGTTGAAAATCCAAAACTAGGATTCTGATGAAGGGAATATACAAATTCTTTTTAGGCCACCCCAGATCCTTGAATCAGGATTAATAAGGGAAAAAACAGAGGATGTGAAAAGAATAAAGAAACAAAAGGGGGAAAACATAAAGCTCATGGAGAATCAACAATGAAATAAAGTTAAGAGGAGAAAATTATACAGTTTTAGAAAAAAGAAAGAACTGAACCAAAACCAAAACCCATCACCCAAACACCCCAATCGAAGAAAAAATGCGAAGAATCGACGAACTCACCGGAATAGTTGAGAACTTTAGACAACAAATTAATGAACCTGCAAATTAGGAAGAAACCCCTCCAAAGAGAGCAAAAAGGAGAGCAAAGAAGAGACAACAAATTAGGAAGTAATTATAGGGATTTTGTATAATGAACCTGCAATGCAAGGAACTCAGAAGAGTGCAGCGCCCCGCGTCGGCGTAGCCACTAGCCGCGTACTCGTAGAACGGTAGAAGACATCTAGGAGCTGGAGCACTGGGCTGGAGTCTGGAGCAGTAAACAAAATGGTTTGGTTAAAATGGATTTTTTTAAAGGTGTTGATGCGAACCGTTTTAAATAAACTGGTTTGGTTAATTGGTTTTTCTAAATCGGTTCGGTTCGGATATTTTATGTTTGGATCGGTTCGGTTTAATTTTAAATGGTTCGGTTCGGTTTGATTTTTTTGCACACCCCTACTTGATATGATTTGACATTATTCTGCAATAAAGGAGAATTAAAACGGACAAAATGTATGCCAAATTAATTATTCCAATTGATGAAATAATCCTAAGAATTATGCATGAGAGCATAACCCGTATAGCATATCCCATATTATGCATTTTGGGTCAAGTAGTATAGGAATTTTTTGTCCTTGTATAATTTTTCTTTAAGGGTGTAATTAGTATTTTATGGGAGGTGTAACTAGCTTAAGCCATAGACTTATTTGGGCTTGGATGACCCAAAATTTTTCGTAGACCATAGGATTGGACGTCTACTTGCTTAGGCAAGTGGTTTGGACGTCCAAACCTAGTCAAAGTGACCATCCAAGTTGTTAAATAAGTCACATGGCTTTAATAGTGACATCTCAACAAACTTGTAAAAGTGATTATTAAGTTAGGTATTTGATGTGACACCCTTACCCTACACATAAATATACAATTATATCAAATAATAAGAGTAAATAGAAACCTTTGTAATTAGAACAACATCTCAAATAACATAAGGGTAAAAGTCTCACATTCACATCTTAAAACACTTTCATAATGAAGTAATTTAATAATCAAAATCACATAAGTAAATAGACAACTTATTAATTATAATTAATGAACAAAATAACATACAAGTAATCCAATTTACAAAGTAAAAAAAGACATCCTATTATATCCCTTGGTGTCTCATGTCCTAATCAGAGCACACCCAATACAGAAGCCTGAGCTTCATCACTAACATCCCCCTAATCACTTGCAATACAATTTTAAACATACACAAATAAACAAGAGAGTGAGAAACATCACTCGGATTCAGGTGCAAAAACAACTATTAGACAACACACACAGAACAAACATAATACAAGTCACAAGAAAAAATCACATATAAACAATACATATACACAATCAGTATCACATGCACATTCATTTATCATGCAATGATGTCATGGACTCGACTCATAAATGCATGCATGTGGTGCCAGTCGCGTGTCTCATAATCACATATCATGTGGTATGCTATCGAAGCAACATACCTGAAGTAGTCTAGGAGTACATTCCAGCTCAACCGCTCACTCTCAACTAGAAAGATGTACTGTTAGGGTCTCGTCAGGATAGCGAAGCCATGCAAGATACGTCTCATGCACAGAAACGGGTAGAACTAGACCTTCAAAATCGCGCTATCCCCTAGGACTCCTCCGAGATGTTTCACCCGAAGGGCCTTCCCTAACGGTGTACTCCATATCATACCCCGTCACGTAGATGCTTATGATGCATGTCACACATTTACATGTTCATGGAATTAACATTTCAGTTGTCATATCTCATCATGTCACTTGTTCTCATATCACATTATCATACTTATAGTCACATATAAGAGATTCCCATCCTCATCATGCTCATAGAAACACATCACTTGCATTAATAGAATAATAAGGTAGTTCTCACACCATTAGCACCTTCAAACATGGCTCAAAACTTTTCTGTTTTCAAAATTAAACATATATCCACACTCAACAAACATCAAGGAACACAATAGAAAAGTTAAACATCAAAACAGAAAACATTCATATTTTGCCTGTTTCTCGTAGAGTTTTCCGTAAGAACCCATAGAACACTCTAATCCCTCTCAAAACATATTTAAACTCAAAATTAAATATACATTCATGCTCAATAATCATCAAGAACACAACAGAAAACTCAGAAGCCAAAATAAAAAACATTCAAAATTTGCCTGTTTCTCATAGGTTTCCCGTAGGAACCCATAGAGCACTCTAATCCATATCAAAACATATTCAAACTCAAAATTAAATATACGTTCATGCTTAGTAATCATTGTCGCAACCCGAAAATTTCTGATCTCGCGACTAATGGTTTAGACATCCTTTTAAAAGTCTCATCAATTAAGGAATGCCCGGACACCAGACTAATCCTTAATTAATGGTTTTGAAAAATGAGTTCATGGAGTCGCCACCAATGTTTTACCAAAACATTGGAAAAAGAAAAGATTTTTTGTTCTCTTCCATCTCGAAGAGTTCACACTTACGGACCAACAAGCTTAGCTTGTTGCGTTTTACCTCCAGGGATCCCTCATAGGTTATGGCCAGGGTATCCCACATTTTTTTGGCACTTTTGAAGCTATGTACTTTGATGTATTCTTCCTCGGTTAGAGCACACATGAATGCATTTCTGGCTT